GCAGGTATTATGAAGATGACGAAGAGGTCGTAGCCGATAACGAGTTGCAAGAGTTAGTTAATGAACTGTCAGCTGATGGTAAACAGGGAGACTTTGGGGGACTGGGCATGGTAAGAACGAGCATAGAAAGTAGCAGCTATCATTGTATTTATTATAAATAAAGTCTTATCATTGAAGGAGCAAAGTGGGACATAATTATGTATGCTTGCGCCGCATCCTTTGAAATCTGTTTCGGGACCCCTGCATCAAAAAACTTCTTACAGGTTTCGAGCCAGACACTCAAGAAACTGAGAAATATGGGCAGCGTTTGATATCATATTTAAATTAAATTGATATTAAATAACGATCACACGGTCGCTTCATTGTAGGTGAAGAAATTCCCAGCCACCATAGAAACGAAAGCCTCTTTAAGCAAGGTGCTGACCACTCTACTGTGGGCGTTCACTGGTCAGCACGCTGCCACTACTTACCCTATCTTGGAATATGGAGGCTTTGTACCTAATGCACCACACAGGCTGTTTGCTGACAGTAATGGCACTGCCACCTTCTCTAATTTGATGTTCGGAAACAAGGCTGTAGCACTGGTAAGGCGGTAATTTAATTTTTTTGAAAGATTTAAATGAAGAAAAGTGTATGTATGTGCTGTTTATTGCATGGGTTAGCGACAGTTATTAAAAGTCTTTAGATTCCATCAGAACTTGAGCGACGCGTTATTGTTCCGAGAAAATAATCACTTTGTAAAGTTCTGATGAACAATTTGTCTAAATAACAAAAGAAACTGAATTTCAATATATTGATTCAATTGAGGCCTTGAGGTACTGTATTTTAGTTCCAAACTTTCGCCGTTCTACGGCCTTATCAGGGAGTGAAAGAAAATATTCCATAGTGCGTGATATAACAGTGGTGTAGGTGACGCGAATGACAGTAGCTCAAGGCCTCAATTGAACCAATATATTTAGCTATTCCGAAATGCTACTGAAGGACAACTTCAAACGTAAACTGAATTTCATTACTTGTTAGCGAACAATGATCGTCCAGTAGTCAATGACCCCCCTCCTTCCCTCTCCGTAGTCAATACTGAGACAATCACGACGGAAGCTATTATTTTTTTCTCTGTATTTAATGCACCGGGCGTTCTTCGATATCATTTAGATGCCTCGGGGCTATAAAAAAGGCAAATATGTTTTTTTGGAGATATAGCAGTTTAGTCTAGACCTTGCCTTAATATTTGTCCCCCAGATATCTTGTTCGTCTGTTTCTTTCACTTTCATTCACTTTATGTAACTTTCCCACAAGGTTAGAGGTTCTAACTAGAAAGCTTTTCCAATAGTGTTTGTCTTCCTTTATTTATGTGATTTTGTGCAGAAATTAACCGTTAGAAATCTTTTTCTACCATCTTATTTTCATCAACAGGAAATAGCGGAACTTAGTTCTAACCTGGCAGGAATTCATCTGGATCAGTTACTCGACTACTCATCTAAAATCGAGGGCAAGAAAGCAAAAGAATTAATAGAAAGGTTTCACGACGAGCTGAAGACAGTAACCGAACAGATGATGAAAGAAAATGAAAAACGAGTGGACGAGGGATTTTTGCCATATCCTTACCTCTTACCCGAATACGTCACTAACAGTGCTAGCACGTGATATGCCTTATGACCAAATTAGGAGCGCTATTGAAGAAAAGAGGACAACGATAAAACTGGAACATTGTACTTGGTTGATAAATTAAGGACCAGCACATTGGATCCGAGGCCAATGAATGCATACCTGAAGCGGAGGACAGCTTTTTTTTCGTTTGCTTTATATAGGGCCACTTTGAAAAACTCCGTTTTCAAATTATTTTCCAGGGACAAAAATATAAGAAACAACAAACTGTTATTCTAAGAAGTGCAAAACCATGTTCGTTTAGATTTTTTATTTCTTTTTGTTTCGCGGAGCAGCCCATGAAGCTGGTAAACCCGTAACAGCTATTCCACCGTAACCGATTAACTACATTAAAGTGATCTTAGGGTCTTAACTATGACATAAAGGGATATATATTTATGCGGTGAAAGGATTTTTGCAGGGACAACAGAGTTGTTTGGAATTCGAAAAAAGATCTTTCTTTATACTTGTGCGATTGAGTCTCTTTGTGTGCTGTGTTTGCGAATACCACCCGCTAGAAGTGGGCTTTGAACTTACGTGATTGCCGTTTTCTCAATGTGATGACAGTACTTTCCGTAGGCTGCGAGCGCCAGATTTGAACCATAACCTATTGTTCAGCAGAAACTTTGCCAGCCAATATCAGTGACGTGCATCCGTCTGGGAAGTTAGACACCCACGTAATAGTCCCCCTCTAATCCGTGAAATATTTCAAGGCCCTATTGGGCTAAAACACTCAAAACTAGATACTAGAAGAAATTTTCTAAAGATAAACCCAAAGGTTACTCTTCAATATATTCAGTTCCTGCATTTGGAGCTACCACCATAGTTTATAAACTTATACATTTCCAAATTA